GGCCAGCGTATCTGCTCTCAAACCAGGCAGGCTCGTGCTTGCAGCCAGGAAGCTGGCCACCCAGGTAGTTACCTGCTACAAAGGCAGAAGGAGAAGCATCTTTCTAGATAACCTGGGTGACACGGGGTAGTTTCACTTTGTCTATCGTCACGCCGTGTGCTCGTGTGGAGTACACAGGACACTCATCTAGTCACAGCGCGAGGTGGTCCTTATTGCTAATTAATACACAGGCAACGGGACTCAGGCAGCAAGATAAAGCCCGGTCCCGAAGGCTCCTACTCTACGAAAGAATTCTAGGGGGTGGGGTGTAGGATGCGAGCCTTCATCTCCCCTCTGTACCGTAACACGACTGTGTGGAGGCCGTCACTCTTATATAAATAACAACTGTGTCTATACCTAGTCCTCTCAAGCCAAAGAAAAGCATGAGGTGCCTAAAGTATGTTACAGAGCGAGTCCTCTGTCTCCGAATTCAAATGTGTCGGCACCAAAGAAAGGTCTTCAAACTGACATGGAGTCTTACTGAATTACTCAGAGCAGCGCATGACAACCCGCAGCCAAGGACCAGGGGAAAAACTGAGATGGATGTTTCTTCTTCCGGAAAAACCTTTAGAAGCCTCAAGGCGGGAGGTGCCGCTGCTGGGTGCTCTGAGGGCACAGTCTCTGCTGCCTCCCCCGCCCTGGGAGGGCGCCTGGCACAGGAGGTGCTCATATCCAAAGCCGAAAGAGCGTGCGAGTGGAGCTGGGAAGCAGAGCTTAGTTCTGAAACTCTATTCTGATATGTAGCGTGGGTGTCTATGAGCCACAATTGCAGCATTATTAAAATAATAATAAGTCCGGACCCCTACTTATTCCAAAAAGACGTAGTATTGGGCAAATAAAGACAATGTCAGGATCCCAGGAAGATGAGTTGAGTTCTTAGGAAGGAAAGTACCACACAAATGGAAAGTCTCATTCGAAGGCCCTTGGGGCAAGTAATATATTTTCAGAAAGCCATGAGCTGCTTCCAGCCTCTGAACACATTTTAAGAAGTTTTAGACATGAATTACAGAGAACAAATGAGAATCTGAACCATAGCGACACGTGTTCCTAACTCATAGATGTGCAGTGACTCACAGTGACTATACGAACTCATTGTGATTTCTATGGCCCAAAGGCATATTACTGTTTCCTGAAATACAGCAATAGATTTGCATTTTCTCTTCTGAGCCCAGGTAGTAATGGTATGCAATTATTGCTTTAGATTTTATTTATTCCTAGTATGCTGATCGTAAAAGCATGAAAGAAAAATATTTATAGTCACATTTCTAGTAATATGCTAAATATCAACAAGGGGATAACAATCTCCATTGAATGAATCAGGCACCTTAAAATAGTCCTAATTACGGACGCTTAATATTTTAATTGTTGGTTTGATTTTAATGCCAAGGTACATCTGCTGTTTCAAAGAGCTATTTATATACAAGCAATCCAAATTGCATGCTATCGGCTTCTATTAAAGTAGATAAGAGGCACTACGGAGCTATGTATTTATTAATCTTGGGAATTTATTATAAAAATTAATCACAAATCTCAAGAGATTCATTTCACTGAGTGCTTTCTCGTCTGAGTTCTTTGTTCAAACCAAGGACTAGTAACTGAAGTGAGAGCAGTTTTCAAACGCAGTTTATTGTACCAGATGAGGTTTTTATCAGAATTCTTGCTAAACTCCAGCTGTCTTGAAAGACAGACGCTTTGTACATGGGCATGAACGAGGGCTTGGTGAGTAACGATTTCAAGTTCCAGTTTAATTACGGTATCAGAGGAAGCGGTGCCGTTGTCCAGGAGTCAGTACAAAGAGTGTATGTTATCACCCACGGCCACCTCGGCCACCGCCCCTGCCAGGAATCTGTACACCCTTTTTTGGCTTGTCCTTTCAATATAATTTTCTTAAAAGCTTCAAGAATGATTTTGAATCAGGTAAGGTGAAATCTATCAGTCACTAATAATACTTTTCAAACCTACACATATTCATAGACTCGCTGCTCTAAATGTATGATCATAAAATGAATTATAGAATTTTGCACTTGGCTGTCAGGCCTAAGTCATTAATATTTAGTTATATTTAGTTTTAGGTGACACCTGGGCATAAATACAAGTAAAAGTATATTTTGTAATAGAAAAAATGTGTCACCGAATTGTTTTTGCACTTCTGAAAGAACTACAAACATTTTCCAAGTGCAACGAGAAAAGAAATGACTTCTGAAAGAAACACTTTATAAGTATCCTAGGTTTGAAAGTGACTAAGATGCATAGAAAGCTGTGAAGAAAACAAGTGTTAGAATGAAAATCCTAAAGCNCCGTCTACCTCTCCCATTTTCATGCAGTCCCTATAAAACAAAAAGCAACAGTCAGAACTCAGAACTTCCTTCCTAGGGGCAAACACAGATTGTTCTTTTTTTGGGGGGTGGGGTGCGGGGAATAAGTACTGTCAGACCCCAGAGGCAAGGTGCGATTAGATCCAGGCTGCGGACTGGAGGCTGTGCCCGAGGCAGCACAGTCTCAGGGGAGCTGGGGGTGTCAGGCTCCTGAGCCAGCCTGTGCTGAGCTTTCCACCTCTGGGTGGATGCTCTCCCTCTCCCCAGGCAGGGGCTCTGGGAGAGGAGGCGTGAAGGTGTGCAATTACACGCCTCCGGGTATGGGTGAGCCGGAGCTGGGAAGCCTGGCCATCCACAGTGAGAATGAGGGTTTTGTTCTTAAAACGAAAACAGCATGCATTGAAGAGGGACAAACTGCTTTAACAGTTTAGATAATCTAAGGATAAAAAAAATGATGTCTATGAAAGCAGCACGGTTGTACAATTCTCCGTTACACTGTCTTCACCCTAAAATTATAGCTCTACTTACTGGTTCTAATGGGTGAGACTAAATACAAAAAAAAAAAAATCCCTATAATAATGAGACTCTGAGCACCTTCTCTAATTAGTAAAATTTCGAAAGAACTGTCAACTAAAACAGAAAAAAGAAAAAAGGAAAAAAACCCTAATAAACATTCTTGAACCAGCTACTTAAAAGACCATTGTCTTACTGCATAAGGTTCCGTGGTCAGATGATCAATCCCTGAGTGATGAACTCCAGGGCAATGTCGATTGTACTCTAACTCTGACTTTCTAACTGGAGTGCAGCACATCTGGAGAACATGGGGGCTGGCTTACCTGTAATCTAACAACCTCTCCATTAGCCGCGTTACAGTGGCGATTAAGGAAACGCCACTTTCCCTCCATGTTTCCCGCTCAATTTTCTTTAGTAGACTGGAAAAGAAAGAACCCAGGGCATTTTCAACATTTATTTTTATCAGTCACCATGACAACCATTTTACTTTCATCAGTACCTTAAGTGCCTTAGCAACCACTGCAACATCTTACAAGTAGCACAATTTGCAAACAATGTCTTACCTAGGATAGGGACCAAATAGTGGAATTCTAATCCCGGAAGCATTGACAAAGCAAATTGATTTTCAGATTATCCAAGTCATAAAATACGAACACATGCACATAATCACATTTTCAAAATAGACAAGCACCTCACACAGCTCACAGACATTTTTTTTCCTAGCTTCTCTCTTGCACTAACAGGCTCAAGCCTCACCACATCAAAGAACACTGTGGGACAGGGAAAACGGAGTCCCCTGTAAGTTTACTTTTAAGTCAGACCTGGCTTTATTCGCACAAAAATGTTTTCCTACCTCTCAGTGGAGTGCATCTTCATCCAAGCAATTTTGCTGCAATGCAACTGCTACAGGAAAATCCTTGTACAGATGGGATGACGCTTGCGTTTTTTCCTTCCACTTAACATTTGCCCACTCAATACATATTGTACTATCCGTGCACTCGCTCAACAGTTTCATTCATTTTGTCATTAATCACCGTGCATTTTCTATGTGGTGGTTACAGCGGGCTGATGACAAGCACCCGACCACGTCTCTCCTCCCACATTCCCCCCAGATCTTAAGCACCTTGGAGC